ATCTATCTATCTATCTATCTATCTATCTATCTATCTATCTATCATCTTGTATAACTGCCCTTCTCATTAGCAAGTGACCCTGGGCAGAGTATAACAAAAAAAAGCAATACAACAATGAATATCTAAAATGATTATCATTAACAAATATTTAAAAAATTAAAACAAGAATGATAGCTGAAGGGATGTTCACAGTATGGAGCCCTGTACCATATATGTTATATTAAACTGATTGATATATGTATAGATTGATATACATACCCATGAAGCAGAATCACACAGTTAAAGGAAACATTCAAGTTTACGGAATAATTTTTCTGACTCCTATTTTATAATCATAATCATAAGTTAGGAGTCTCAGCTGCAATTGTTCAGATATGACAAAGTGGGTATTACGATTGTTTTAAAGCAGCTGTGTTGTTTCAGGCTTCCATACAACTTAAACCAATAAATGTAACGGCTTTAAAGGGAGGACTTAATGCTATTTTTAATAGTAAGAATATTTAAACAACAACATCTTATTTCCAGACTCATTAACAAGCCCGGAGAAAAAAAAGGATCTGGCTGCTTTAATGAACAACAAAGAGGTACGGTACTGTGCTTGCATGGGGTGCAAAAACTTATTCCAACCCATCATTTACAAAGAATACACATCCCAGTTTAGTATGTCTTACTCACCAATGATGCTTTTCAGACAGCAGTGTTAGACCCCAGCTGAAAAATCAAAACAAAACATCATTCATACACAGACATGTCAGGTAATTAAGAAAGACAAAAGAGGATTAACCTTCCCAAAGCCAAATTATTGTTACCCTGTTCAGAGTGCTCACAGATCACATATAGCCCCCTACTGTGACTGGCACTGATGATGTTATCTAGTTTGGTAATGAAATGTCTGCAAGAAAACAACCGAGCTCAGAGAGCACTAAGGAACCCTTCATTTCAACCCCGAGCTACAAAATTTCTCCTTGATTAGCCCCTACTGTGAATTTAGGAGAATCATACAATTTCAGAGGCTGAAGTCTGGTGTGTTGTTTTTGTTTAACGTTTTGAGCTTTTGGGGCAACGCTTGAACTTTTGTGGAAATCTGCTACTCTGAACACTTTGTTGTTGTATGTGTGTACACTGAGAGCTTATGCACCGGAGACAAATTCCTTATGTGTTCAATCACACATGGCCAATAAGAATCCTATTCTGTTCTGTTCTGTTCCATTCCGTTCCGTTCCATTCTATTCCATTCTTCATTCCATTATTCCATTCGTTTCATTATTCTATTCTATTCTATTTTCTTATTCTATTCTATTTTCTATTCTATTCTATTTTCTATTCTATTCTATTTTTTATTCTATTCTATTATCTATTCTATTCTATTCTATTCCATTCTTCATTCGATTATTCCATTCGATTATTCCATTCCATTCTATTCTATTCTATTCTATTCTATTCTTCATTCTATTATTCATTTCATTATTCTATTCTATTCTATTCTATTCCATTCTTCAATCCATTATTCTATTCTATTCTATTCTATTCTATTCCATTCTTTATTCTATTATTCATTTCATTATTCTATTCTATTCTATTCTATTCTATTCTATTCTATTCTATTCCATTCTTCATTCTATTATTCATTTCATTATTCTATTCTATTCTATTCTATTCTATTCTATTCTATTCTATTCTATTCCATTCCATTCTTCAATCCATTATTCTATTCTATTCTATTCTATTCTATTCTATTCTATTCTATTCTATTCCATTCTTCATTCTATTATTCATTTCATTATTCTATTCTATTCTATTCTATTCTATTCCATTCTTCAATCCATTATTCTATTCTATTCTATTCTATTCTATTCTATTCTATTCTATTCCATTCTTCATTCTATTATTCATTTCATTATTCTATTCTATTCTATTCTTCATTCTATTATTCATTTCATTATTCTATTCTATTCTATTCTATTCCATTCTATTCTATTCTATTCTATTCTATTCTATTCCATTCTTCAATCCATTATTCTATTCTATTCTATTCTATTCTATTCTATTCTATTCTATTCTATTCTATTCTATTCCATTCTTCAATCCATTATTCTATTCTATTCTATTCTATTCTATTCTATTCTATTCTATTCTATTCTATTCTATTCTATTCTATTCTATTCTATTCGCAATATAACCCAGAGGCGATAGCATACCGAGATTAGAAATAACTGTTCAATAATTTCTCAATACCAAATTAATAACAGAGGCCCCCAAATACCTAACATTGAGGAACTGTGGCTGATCACGGACCAGGCAATAGATACAGATTAGTTCCCTTAATCGCTATGGTTTTTCAAAGCTTTACCCTTCTGTAGCATCACAATCCTAACAAAGCAGCCAACATGGTTTTTTCTTGCCTCTCTCTTACTTTGTTGGTGGTTTCAGTTTTTTCTTCACCCCAAGGTAAAGTTTCAATGAGTTGACAGGAAAGGCTTTTTCAGCTTTGCTGCTCTGCTGAGGGGGAGAAACGAGCATTATTAGCGAAGCAGAAACATAGCAGAAGGCCTCCAAATCTGTTCGCCTTCTGAACATTTCTCGGTGGACATTTTGCAAAAAAATTAGATCATTTTGTTCCCCGTGATGTCATCTCTCTACTAGCAGGTTTGAACACGTGGTAGTGGCATCTGACCAAGCTTGGGATCCAAGAAGGGTTAGATTGGGCTACCACATAGATGTTCCAAATTTCCCTGGAAGATCGAAATTGTGAACCGTTTCTGGACTTTGTGCTCGCGGTGGGAAAAAAAATGATACTTCGATTTGGGGTTTTACTGATTAGATTGATTTGTTGTTATAGAAATTTAATGCACGTTTAATGTTTAATTAAGAGAAGGACTAGGGGTGACATGATAGCAGTGGTCCAGTATCTCAGGGGCTGCCCCAAAGAAGAGGGAGTCAAGCTATTCTCCAAAGCGCCTGAAGGCAGGACGAGAAGCAACGGATGGAAACTAAGCAAGGAGAGAAGCAACCTAGAACTAAGGAGAAACTTCCTGACAGTTAGAACAATTAATCAGTGGAACCCCCTCATTTGAACCCTGAGCAAATATTCTCCTTCATTAGAATTTCCTATATGGCCGTGCATGGAGAAGCCTTACTAAGGTCTCCCGCCTTGGACATGGGGCTGGACTAGAAGACCTCCAAGGTCCCTTCCAGCCCTGTGACTATATTTCTATGCAGCTCCTGCCTGCCTTTGCCAAGATCAAGGAAGAGGAAATTGTGACAGGTTGCCATGCTATTCTTTGTGCACCCAACCACCCAGAGACACTACAAAAGCCCTCCTTTTTTTTTTTCTTCTCGAGGCAAAATTCTCTACTGGATAAAAAGCCTGTAATTAAATAGCAGAGTTTAATTTGTCAATGTGTTTGTAATGATATGGAATGCTAGAGGTCTCCTGAAATTCATTAGGCAGTTTTCATTTTCTGAGGCGGATTTGTACCTAGGGGAGTTTAAAGCACTGAAGTGCTGGAAGGTCAAAGTGACCCCCCATCCACCTTTATAGGAGCTGAGAGTATGAAACATTACATGCCAATTAGGCAAAAATAAATTAGCTCAGTTCAGGGCACTTTCTCTTCCCCTCCCCCCCCTCTCCGAAATTCATGGCTAATTGGGCTTTTAGTATTTCGAAAACGATTCTTAACCAATTTGGCTGCGGTAGTAATAAAAAGCGTCCATTCGAACAGCAGAAATGTACTTATTAATCTAGATATGAGGAAGTGAGCGCCGTTTTTAAAATAATAGCGCTGCTTCTCCGAGCTTTCTTTCTTTCTTTCTTTCTTTCTTTCTTTCTTTTCTTTCTTTCTTTCTTTCTTCCTTTCTTTCCCTTTTTCTTGCCAGGCAATTAATGTAACATTATGCATAGGCAAAACAAACACAACCACTTTGCTGAGATCATGAGTTTCCCAAGATTTGTAGCAAGTTGGGTTTCAGACAAGCTATTAATTTCAGGGGAAAATAGAATTTTTTTTAAAAAAAAAAAAGAAAAAAAATGTGCAACAAGCCAAAGGGGAACAAGCAAAAAGCTTTTTTGTTCAGCAACTGCAAACCTTGCTTTCCCGTAAATAATGACCTAGAATTTATGCAGCCTATTTTAAGCCCGAAGAAAAGAAGTCTAGACACATAAAAGTAAATTTAAAAGGTCCACGTTCATGCTTAGATGGATACTTCGGAGCAGAAAGGAAATTAGGAGTCTCTCTTTGTAATGTGAAATTCACGACAACAGGGGTCTTCAAACTTGGCCCTTTGATGACCGGTGGACTTCAACTCCCAGAATTCCTCAGCCAGCCTCCATTTTGTTTGTTACATTTAAGACGGGGGGGGGGTCTTCAAACTTGGCCCTTTGATGACTGGTAGACTTCAACTCCCAGAATTCCTCAGCCGGGAAAAAGGAAGGGGGTGGAACTGGGGGCGAGTTTAAAGGGCTCGCAACGGAATTTGTACCTTCATGTCCTTATAAAGCCACAATTTTGCTTCTCGCAAAACAAAATAACGGTCTTGAAACTTATTGGCAGACAGAAGTTTGGAGGGTTCTTCTTTGTATTTCAGGTAGCCGGCTTTGACGGGGCCTTTGGACGTTTCCTCTGTCGAGACGATTAAAAAAAAGCAGTTGGTTTTCACAATCTCCTTTTTTTATTATATTGATATATATTTGTTATTGTATATTATATTATTATACTGTATACTATATTATTATACACTATAATATATTATTATATATACTATTATATATTATAATATAATATATTATAGTATAGTATATTATACTATATTATATAATACTATATTATATATTATATTACTATATATTATACTATACTATGCTATGCTATATTATATTATAATAAATATACTATACTATACTATAACATAACATAATATAACATAATATAACATTATAACATAACTATACTATACTATAATATACTATAATATAATACAATACAATACAATACAATATAACATAACAAAACATAACATAATATAACATAACATTATAACATAACTATACTATACTATACTATACTATAATATAATATACTATAATATACTATAATATACTATAATATCTATACTATACTATAATATAATATAATATAATATAACATACTATAACTATACTATACTATAATATACTATAATATGATTAATATAATATAATATAATTAATATAAATATATGATTAATATATAATATAGTCAATATAATAATTAATATAATTAACATAATATAATTAATATTATACAGTAATATATTATATTATATATTATACAGTGTACTACATTTTAAAGGTAACCACAACTGAGCCCAACATTTATGTTGCTAAGTGAGAAATTTTTTAAAGTGAGTTTTTCCCCATTTTACCGCTTTTCTTGCCTTCGTTGTTAAGTGAATTTCCGCAGTTGTAAAATTAGTAACACGGTGGTTAAATGAAATCTGGCTTCCCACCCCCCCCCCCCCATTGGCTTTGCTGGTCAGAAAGTTGCAAAAGGGGATCACGTGAGCCCGGGGGGACGCTGTGACCGTCATAAGTATGAGTCAGTTGTCAAAGCGTCCGAGTGCAAGTCACATGACCCTGGGGATGCTGCAATGGTTGTAAGCATAAAAAACAGTCATAAGTCATTTTTTCCAGGGCCGTTATACCTTTGAACAGTCACTAAGTAAGTTGAGGACTACCTATATACCTTTTAAAATTAATCTGGGGGGAAAAAAGGATAAACAATTGGAGTTCTCCTCTATTATTTTAGAGTTTTTGGCTCTTGGGAAAATACCTTGCTTGGGTGGAAATGTGGTGTCTTAACTATGATTAAACATATTTCTTCAAGGTCTAGTTTAAGGGCACTGCAACAAGCAAGGATATAAACGTATCTATATTAGCCAGCATTCGTTCACCCGATCCAAGCAAACATTTAAAGGATGTTCTGGCTGGGCTGAGTTCAAGATTGTACACTTCTTACTGGCAGCTATTTTGATCAGAACCTTTTTTTGAAAGTGTCCAGGTTATTCTTCTTACTATGGTCCTTCAAGTCAACTTTTACTCTTAGTAACAAGTTTCCTAAGCAACAATTTCAAAACGGGTTTGATTTTTTCTTGATGTTTGATCTTCTTGTGACTTTGATCCTTCAGGTCAATTTTTACTCTTAGTAACAAGTTTCCAAAGCAACATTTTCAGAATCAGTTTGATCTTTTTGTGTGTCTGTGTGTGTCCCAGGTAATTTTGTGTTGGGGCGAGTAACCCAAAATTATTCGTATGGCTATGTCTCAGGGGAGACTAGAATTTGGGTACCCTTGCTCCTGATGCAATGTCTAGTCTAGACCAAACTAGCTTTTTAAAGCTTCTGCTCCATTAAAGTTGAATTCAGAAATTGACAGACTTAAAACTCACTACAGCTGGCAATGGCCAGCCAGCGTTTAGTAGATTAAAATGATATATTTCTAGTGTTACGTACTGCCTTATTAGTTGTGGTCTTTAAATTGTTTTACTAGTTGATTTTATGCATATACCTTATTTAATTCGATGCGGTTTTAATTTATTCTATTTGTTCTGTGAGCAATTTTCTTTCTTCCAGTCCCCGGCTTTAAATTAAATAAACCAATAAATTGTAATTCTTTGGATGTCATGCTCTTTGTAAGATGAGTAGAGGGAGTCAAGCTATTCTCCAAAGTGCCTGAGGGCAGGACAAGAAGCAACGGATGGAAACTCATCAAGGAGAGAAGCAACCTAGAACTAAGGAGAAACTTCTTGACAGTTGGAACAATTAACCAGTGGAACAACCTGCCTCCAGAAGCGGTGAATGCTCCAACACTGGAAGTTTTTAAGAAGAGACTGGACAGCCATTTGTCCGAAATGGTGTAGGGTTTCCTGCCTGAGCAGGGGGTTGGACTCGATGACCTCCAAGGTCCCTTCCAACTTTTATTATTATTATTTACATAGGTATGTTTTATATGTGCATGTACTATATGGCACTCCTATAGAGAATAAGATATGGAAAATCAACATACCTAAATTAATCTTGGGTGAAGGTTGGTTCACTGAATGTCTGGAATCTTAAGCAGGGATAACAGCAAAATTATAAACCAGGATTAAACAATTTTGCTTGAATATACTGTAATACTAAAGATCTCTTTCTTCTTCTCCCAAAAATAATTGGATTCCTTCTTTCTTTCTTTCCTTCCTTCCTTCCTTCCTTCCTTCCTTCCTTCCTTTCTTCCTTCCTCATGCTTAGACCCTTTCAAACATACAAATACATGTATGTTCCATCTATTTGCTCACACCCAAATTTCTTTCCTGGAAAGAAAAGAGCACAACATCAGGTGTAAAAGACCAGGTCCACACATGAAGGCCCAATTAAACTGATTTATACTCATACCTATGCATAGGAATCTTCTTAACTAACATTTAGCGCCTGCTTGGAGATAGATAAAAAGCAATGGAATTCAAGGGAGATTGGTCTCCACTCGTTTGTGGCCACCTAGGGATTCTAGGCTGAACCCTCTTTTAACTCCACCCCAGGTTCTCCTTCTCCTACAATATTCAATACATCATTCTGTACATGGAGAAAAATACAGACAAATACTAGACAGCCTAACCAGGGTCACTGCTGGTAAGGCGTGTTGCTATGGGGATGGCTCAGAATATGGTTACCTGTCTTATTTCTAAGTTCTGATTCAGGTAGATCCAATAAAGCAGACATGTCAAACACAAGGCCCGGGGGCCGGATGCGACCCGCGAAGTGGTTTCATGTGGCCCGTGAAGCCATCCTGGAAACAGTGAGGGAACGGCCCCCGCTGCCTTGGCCTTGACCCAGGCTGGCCGGGAGCCAATGTACAATTTTGTGGTGGCCATCTATGCTGAAACGCATTCAGTCTTAGCTCCACAAGGCCGTCTAGAAACAGTGAGGAACCAGCCCCTGCCGTGTCGGCCCCGTCCCCTGGGTGCATGCTGGGGAGGTGACACCCTTTGTGAGGAATGAAGAAATGCACCATCGCCTGGAAGTGGCCAGCAAATGGCCCTTGCCTACTTCACATATCCGGTTTGATGGGCTCCGGCGGAGGGGTTTCAGCAGGCAGCGAGGCTCCTCCAGTGGACCATGCCTTGGCACTTGCCCCGGTTCCACCCCCTTCTGCCAGAGACCCTCAGATCTGTCCCACTCTTGCCCAGGCCCCCACAGGCACCCTTGACGTGAATGATGTAGAGCTGGCCATGCCCACCCAATAGGCCACACCCATTCTATCCACACCCATCCAGTAGGCCACACCCACCCTGACCACCACCCCCAAGGGCAACCGCAATGCTGATGCAGCCCTCAATGAAATTGAGTTTGACACCCCTGCAATAAGGGCTTTTTATTAAAGGGTTGGACAGAATTCCAGATTCACGTTTTCTTTGCCATGTTTATCGCCCTACCCAAATGAGAACACTAGCAAGATTCAAACGGAATGCTAAAGCATACGTTAGCGCTGCTTTAATGAACCTTTGCTAGCTCCACTGGAGGAAAATGCGAGCATCTGCTCCCACGTCAGCTATATATAATTATTACTAGCTTGGATTCATGCATTATGCTAAAACGGCGACGTGGCATCCTTGTTGCTGGCTTAGTGCAATGCATAAATCCAGCGTTACGGTTTCCCAAAGAAGTGTTTTGCTCGCCAAGCCGAACTTGCGAATATCAACAACAGTGGTCTTTAAAACAAGCCAGGTTTTCAAAATTACAATTCCTTATCCTGACTTGTATGGTTTAAAGGCAGAATGAGCGTAATTGCAATCAGTGGAATAAAGACCTCTGTGGGGCTGAATCGGATCGCCAATTTGCCACGGGATGAAACTCTACCCGCCACCTACTTAAAACAGTCAATGGAAGCTCCCAAAAAGACGTCGGCTTGTCTTTGTTAAGAAAGTGACAATGGAATCACATTTGATTTACTTTCCTTCTCGTCTTTTTTTAGATCCTAGCTTTAGGATGTATCAGTGGCAACGGATAGACCAGTAATGCCAAAATCAGAAAAATCCACTGGGATTGATTCGGGAGCCGCTAATTAAGGCAAAGAAAACAGAATCGTTAACCGTCCTGTAATCTACCAAAGGATAAACCTGCACAAAACATGTTTATAAGATTCTTAGGAGATGATGAAAAAAAAAAACAAGTGAAAATACCTATAACTTAAAAGGGCCAATCATCGTCAATAAAATATCCAGGTAGTCCTTGACTTACAACAGTTCAAATTTACAATGGCACTGAAGAGACTAACGACATTCTTCATCCCCAAGGTCACATGATCAAAATCCAATGCTTGGCACCTGACATGTACTTATGACGGTCGCAGTGTCCCAGGGTCATGTGATCCCCTTTTGCGACCCTCTGACAAGTAAAGTTTAATGTCTAGTTTAATGAAGAGAAGGATGAGGGGGGACATGATAGCAGCCTGCCAATATCTCAGGGGCTGCCCCAAAGAAGAGGGAGTCAAGCTATCCTCCAAAGCGCCTGAAGGCAGGACGAGAAGCAACGGGTGGAAACTAATCAAGGAAAGAAGCAACCTGGAACTAAGGAGAAACTTCCTGACAGTGAGAACAATTAACCAGT